ACCCCAAGCTATTCTACCCAAGAAAATTTAAAAATTATTTGTCCAGTGTATTATTAAATTCTTCCCAAATTCTATTAATTATAAATGGATCTAATTTATATAAACCAAAGGAAATATTCATATTATTGTCAAAACTGCTTTTTATGAAACAAGATTCAATTATATTCCTGTCGACCATTGACTTGCTTGATACTACTTTCTCAACTTTTTGAAAATCAATTGGATGGTTAAAATCTCTTACATGAATAAATAGAGCATTGGAATCTTGTCCAGTTCTAATGCTATATTTATGTTGTTTTAATCTTAGTTCGAGATTTTTACCAGTTTGACCGTAATAAACTTTATCGCAAATTTTACAAGGAATCTTATAGACACATCCATCAGCATTTTGGGGGGAATTCTTTATCAAAAGTTTTTTTACTGTATCAAGATTTTTGAATACAACTTTAATATTAAAAGTCTTTAGAAGAGAAGGCATATCAACCAAGTTTCATGGTAAGGGAGAACCAACATATTTTTAGTTGAATAAGGCTGGTTGCCCTTTTTGGATTATAAAAAGTGTTTCTAGCAACTTTAAAAGATTTATCAATTACATTTCTTGGGTATTTTAAATCATTACCTATTCATAAATTTTGGATATTTACTCATCTATGAACTCAGGACTACAAATTCGTAAAGCTCTCAAAAACATTGATGAGAAAACAGACAGTTTGACTCTATCTTGATGCGAGGAATAATAGTGGACATAGGAACAGTTATTTGTAGGTTTTCTGTAAATTTTAAATTTGAATTCATTATTACCCTTAATAATTAAAACATCTAGAAAAGGCAATGAGTTATTTTCTTCAAACTCAACAGTAAAGTTTATAGAATGGGCTAAGCTATTTAATTTTCCAAGAAAATGGTGTATATCTACATTTTTGGGCATAAGACACAAAATATCATCAACATATCTGAACCATTTTGCTCTATTAGGGAGGATTGTGTTAAGCAACCTTGTTTCAAAAAATTCCATGTATAGGTTACTAAGAACAGGTGAAAGAGGATTTCCCATTGCCATACCAAACTTCTGAGTGTAAAACTTATCATTAAATACAAATTTTGCATCAACAATGCAAAGTTTAATAAGTTTAATGATAGTAGGAACTGGCAATGGTGAATCATAGTTAACGAGTTCTTCAGATAAGAAACTTAATAAATCATCAACAGGAACTTTCGTAAACAAGGAAGTAACATCAAAACTAACCATGTTAAAATCATTTAAGTCAGTCAAGGAGCTTAATTTATCAACCAAGTCTATGTTGTTTTTAACATTAAAGTTAGAAATTTTGCCAACAATAGGGCTCAAAATATCAACAAGCCATTACTAAGGCAGACAAAATAGATGCAATAGTAATTATGAAAGAAAATGATTACCAAGAAAAAATGGATAATCTCTTAGATGATACTGAAACCTATTCTAAACTTAGGAAAAATCCCCTAGAAACCGTTAACAGCAATTTCAATAAAACAATAAAACTTCTACTGAAAGGCAAAGATGAATTAGTCAAACAATTTACTTCCACTAATCCATCTTTACCTTACATGTATGGACTAATAAAAACACACAAACCAGGGAATCCAGTCAGACCAATTATTAGCTCCATAGGGTCAGTTTCATATAAATTATCCAAATGGCTTGTTGATATTTTGATGCACAACATATTTAAAAATTGTGTTCTGGAATGTATAAACTTGACAGTTTTATAGTCCAGAATATTGTTCATGATTTTAAAAGTAAAAACAGTTTTTCACAAAAATACAGTGTGTTCTGTCAGGCGAACAATTTAACTTGATGTTAGACAAATGTATGTGTGGGTTAGGCTTGTGCGGGAAATGTTTGTGTGACGTGTTGTCACCTCTGACTGAGGTGTCACCTCAAGGTTTAACATACTATATAATGTGCTTCATATGCCTCATCTTTTTATTCCTCTGAAAATATGTGTGTAAAGCACATGAAAGCGCTCAAGTTGTATTTCCAATGTTCACTGTTTTATTTATATAATAAATGCAACGCTGCATCGCTTGATTTAGAAGTGGCGTATGATATAGTGGGTAGAGGAGCAGTGTGGGACTTGTTGCAAGTGTATGAAATAGATTATGAAATAGATGGTAGGTTATTAAAACAATTGAGAGCTTTATGAGAAGTGTGAGGCTTAGGTTAAGGTATATAAGAGAGAGAGAGAGTGAGAGAGAGAGAAAGGGAGATTATTTTCCAACAAAGGTAGGCCTTACATAGGGATTTATGACGTCACCAAGGTTGTTCAAAGTTAAAAATGGAGTTGTATAAGAAGTAAATGCTGGAGTGTTGGGGAGAGATGTGGGATTAAAATATAAAGAGTCTAATGCAAAGTAGGTGTTGTCAGAAACGCTTCTTGCTGATGACACGGCTCTTTTGGGAATATTCTGAAGGCTGCAAAGGTTACCTGGATTATACCTAGAGAGGGTTTCGGAGGGTCAACGCCCCTGTGACCCGGTCTGTGGACGGTTTTTGGAAGGGAATGACTTAAGGAGTGTATAAATCTGTAGCTGAGGGAAGGCGGGGTAGGGGTCGGCCTAGGAAAGGTTGGAGGGAGAAGGTAAAGAAGGTTTGTGTGCGAGGGGCTTGGACTTCCAGCAAGCATGCGTGAGCATGTTAAATAGGAGCGAATGGAGACACGTGGTTTTTAGGACTTGACGTACTGTTGGAGTGTGAGCAAGATAACATTTATGAAGGGATTGAGGGAAACCGGCAGACTGGACTTGAGTCCTGGAGATGGAAAGTACAGTGTCTGCAATTTTATACTGTAGTGTAAGTGCGTCTCTGGCAAGACAATAATGGAGTGAATGATGATGAAAGCTTTTCTTTTTCGGGCCGCCCTGCCTTGGTGGGAGACGGCCGATGTGTTAATAAAAAAAACTCTATAAGGAAACGAAAAATAAACATAAGACAGCTGGAGACACTCCTATGAATTGTATTTATCTTAAAACTTCGCCTAAACACTCCTTGTAACTGCAGTTATCTCATAACACAGCAGAATACAATCATACTAACTGATGTTAACTAATAACAGTGTCAGAGACACTGTTATTAGTTAACATCAGTAGCAACCCCACCCCCACCATGGCTACAACACTCCTGTCTCCCCAACACTAGCAATCCCACCCCCACTATGGCTACGACATCCCTGTCTCCCCAACACTAGCAACCCCATCCCCACCATGGCTACGACATCCCTGTCTAACCATCACTAGCAACCCCTACCCACTGCACCATGGCTACACCACCCTGTCTACCAACACTAGCACCCCCACCCCCACCATGGCTACGACATCCCTGTCTCCCCAACACTAGCAACCCCTCCCACCCCACCATGGATACGACACCCTGTCTCCCCAACACTAGCAACCCTCCCCCCACCATGGTACGACATCCCCTGTCTCCCCAACACTAGCAACCTCACCCCCACCATGGCTACGACATCCCTGTCTCCCCAACACTAGCAACCTTACCCCCACCATGGCTACGACATCCCTGTCTAACCCCAAAACTAGCAACCCCCCCCCACCATGGCTACGACACCCTGTCTCCCCAACACTAGCAACCCTACCGCCACCATGGCTACACACCCTGTCTCCCCAACATTAGCAACCCCACCGCCACCATGGCTACGACATTCCTGTCTCCCCAACACTAGCGCCCCACCCACCCCACCCCCACCATGGCAACAACACCCTGCCCCTCCAAAAAACCCCCCCCCTTTCCCCCCCCCCCCCCCCTTTTTTTCCCCCCCTTCCCCCCCCCCCCCATCTCCCCCCCCCCCCCCCCCCCCTTTTTTTCCCTTCTCCCCCCCCCCCCCCCTCCCCCTTCCTTTCCCCCCTGCCCCCCCCCTTTTTTCCCCTCCCTGTTCCCCCCCCCCCTCCCCCGGTCCCCCCTTCCCCCACCTCCCCCCCCCCCCCCTTTTCCCCCCCCCTTTCCCCCCCTTTCCCCCCCCCCCCCCTTTCCCCCCCCCTTTCTCCCCCCCCTCCCCCCCCCCCCCCCCTTTTCCCCCCTTCTCCCCCCCTCCCCCCCCCCCCCCCTTCCTCCTTCCCCCCCCCCCCCCCCCCCCCCTCCACCCCCTTCCCCCCCCTCCCCCCCCCCCCCCCCTTCCCCCCCTGCCCCCCCTCCCCCCCCCCCTCTCCCCCTTTCCCCCCCCCCCCCCCCCCCCCCCCCCCCCCTCTTCCCCCCTTCTCCCCCCCTCCCCCCCCCCCTCCCCCTTCCTTTCCCCCCCTCACCCCCCCCCCCCCCCCCCCCCCCTTTCCCCCCACTTTTTCCCCCCCCCCCCCCCCCTTCCCCCTTTCTCCCCCCCTCCCCCCCCCCCCCCTCTCCCCCCCTTTTCTCCCCCCCCCGCCCCCCCCCCCTCTCCCCCCCCTTTTCCCCCTTCCCCCCCCCCCTTTCCCTCCCCCTTTCCCCCCCTCCCCCCCCTCCCCCCCCTTTTTTCCCCCTTCCCCCCTTAAAACCCCCCCCCCCCCTCTCCCCCCCTTCCCCCCTCCCCCTCCCCCCCTCCCCCCCCCCTCCTCCCCTCCCCCCCCCCCCCCCCCTTTCCCCCCCCTTTCCCCCCCCCCCTCCCCCCCCCCCCTTCCCCCCCCCTTTTTCCCTGCCTCCCCCCCCCCCCTCCCCCCTTTTCCCCCCCCCTCCCCCCCCCCCCCTCCCTTTTTCTCCCCCCCCCCTTTCCCCCCCCCCCTCCTCAACCCCTTCCCCCCCCCTCCCCCCCCCCCTCCCCCCTTCTCCCCTCCCCCCCCCCCCCTCTCCCCCTTTCCCCCACTCCCCCCTCCCCTCTCCCCCTGCTCCCCCCCCCTCCCCCCCCCCTCCCCCTTTCACCCCTTTCCCCCCCCAAAAAACCCCTCCTACCCCCCATCCCTTTCTCCCCCCCCCCTTTATCCCCCCCCCTGTCCCCCCCCCCTCCCCTCCCCCCCTCCCCCCTTCCCCCCCTCCCCCCCCCCCCCCCTTCTCCCCCCTTTCTCCCCCCCTTCCCCCCCCCCCCCCCTTTTTCCCCCCCCCCCCCAAAAAAACCCCACCCCCATGGTACGAAACCCCTTCTCTCTCCACCTAGCCCCACCCCCACCCCACCAGGCCGACACCCGTCCCCCCACACCACAAGAACAACAAGAAAAAAAAGGAACCGGCGGGCTACTGGCCCATGGGGGCAGGTCAAGTCAACCCCGGGGGCTTTGACCAATGGCCCCCCCAACATGTCACCTCCCCTTAAGGAAGGGGCACGGACTGACCCTTTTGCACCAGCAGCCGGTCCAATTCACCCCCCCCACACCCACTCATGTACTTATTAAAATTTTTAAAAATACGCAACGTCTTGCTTCTATAACGGTATCGGGAGTTTTTTTTCACCTCTCACAACTCTATGTCTCCCCCCCCCAGAAACCCCAACCCCACCCCGTAACCCCCCCCCCACCCCCCACCTTGCAAAAGCCCCCCCCCCGTCTCCCCCACACCGCAAACCCCCCCCCATTTGGTCTAACCCCCTGCTCCCCCACATACCTCGGCAATTCACCCATGTCTTCCCCCACCAGAACCCCACCCCCACCTTTTCTATAACCCCTGACTCTCCCCAAAATCAACTCCCCCCACTCAACCCAGTAACTCCCAGGCATCCCCCCAACCTGACCCAGCAAACAGGCGTTGCATAGAAACTTTTAAAGCTCTGACAAGTTTGGTCAAGTTTCTTCTTTTCACGGTAGACATCAAAACCCTTGTTGAGGCCCCGAGAGTGGTGATGGGGGTGGTGGTGGTGGTGACAGTGGTGATAGTGCGGTTTTAGTGGTGGTAGTTTTTTTGTTATAGTGGTGGGGGTGGGGTTTGTGGTTGTGATGTGTTGGTGGTGGTAGTGGGGGGTGGGAGTGGGGGTGTTGTTGTTATAGTGGTGGGGTGGTTTTGTGGTGGGGTGGGGGTGATGGTTGTTGTTTTTTATAGTGGTGGTGGTGGTGGAGTGGTGGGAGTGGGGGTGATGGTTGTTGTTGTTATAGTGGTGGGTAGTGGTGGTAGTGGTGGGAGATGGGGGTGATGGTTGTTGTTGTTGTTATAGTGGTGGTGGTGGTGTAGCGTTGGTGGTTGTGGTGGTTGTATGTGGTAGTGGTGATAATAGTGGTGGAGGTGGTAGTGGAGGTTGGAGGTTGTTATTGTTATAGTGGTGGTGGTGGTTGTGGTGATAGTGGTGGTGGTTTTTGTTGTTGTTGTTGTTGTGGTGGTGGTGGTGGTGGTGATGATGGTGGTAGTGGTGATGATGGTGGCAGTGGTGTTGGTGATAGTTTTGGCAGTGATTGTGGTGGCGGTAGTGGTGATAGTATACGCCTGCTCATTAACGCAAATATGTAATCAGTCAGTCATGTAACATTCAGACATGGTGAAGAAGCTCAGATGTTTTTCAAACTGAACATCAGAATGGGGAAAAAGTTGTGATCCAAGTGATTTTGAGCGTGGAAACATTTCTGGTCTGAGTTTCTCAAAAACTGCTGATCTCCAGAGATTTTCACACAACAGAATTTACAGAGAATGGTGTGAAACCAGAAAATATCCTATGAGCAACAGTTCTGTGGTCGACCACGTCTTGTTAATGAGAGGGTCAAAGGAAAATGACCAAACTAAATCAAGCAGAATGGAAGGTGACATTAGCTCAAATAACCATGCGTTGCAGAAGAGCATCTTAGAATACTCAACACGTCGAACACTGAAGCAGATGGGCTACGATTGCTGAAGACCACACGGGTTTCCACTCTAGTCGATGTCGCAATTTCTGTGCGACATCCAGATGGCAGGGTAAAAATTTGAGAAAGAGAGATGCACACCAAAAATGTGAGTTGCGACAAACTCAGCAACTGTGTGATGCAATCATGCAACATCGACCAGAATCGTAAGGAATGTTTCCAAACATCTAGTGTTGAAATATATGCTCGGAATCAGGCTGTGCTGGGGCAAAAGGCTTAACAGTACTAGAAGTAACATGAGTTCACACATGTCGCCTATAAGCCAAACTAATCTACAAATGAACTCTTCCAAAATTTTCTTGATGGATTAATAAATAAAATTCTTTCATGAAACTGAGTAAAAATAGTTTTACAACAAATCTGTATTAGTTAAATGTCCTAAATATATCACAGATCAGTTTAATCTTGTTAATAATGCTTGAAATCAATGACAATTCTTTTTAATGTTAGATTTATTTTGCAGATTAATTTCATAACACTTTTTTCATCTATTATTGAGAAAATGACCCATCTGTTAAGGTAAAACTTACTGGTTCGTACATTCGACATGAATACACTCGCACAAACACATTCTACAACTCACCACACACACACACACACACACCACACCAATACACACTTTTACACACACACACAACAACACACACACACACACACACACCCAACACACAACCACTCCACACACAACACACTCAAAACACATCACACACAAAACACACACACCACACACACACACACACACACACACACACACACCACACACACACACACACACACACCACAACACACACACACACACCACACACCACACACACACGGCGACAAGGTTAGTTCCAGAGCTAAGTAAGGGGAATGTCCTACGAAGAAAAGGTAAGGAAAATTGGACTGATGACACTGGAGAACAGGAGGGTTAGGGGAGACATGATAACGACATACAAAATACTGCGTGGTATACACAAGGTGGAAAGAGACTAGGATGTTCCAGAGAGGGGACACAGAGATCACCCTCCAATAACACAGATAGAATAACAAATAAGAGTGACGAGTGGCAAGAAAGAATCACTGAGGCATCCCTGGACATCATAGCACTCACAGAGACAAAGCTTACGTGGGTGATAACAGATCTTCCAGTCTGGATATAAGATCCTGAAGAAAGATAGGATGAACAGAGTGGGAGGAGGAGTTGCAATGCTCATCAAAAATCAATGGAGTTTTGAGGAGATGGAAGGACTAGCCAGAGGTGAAGTGGATGATTACATAGTAGGAATACTTCTAATCGGGGGCCAAAAGTGATGATGGCAGTGATGTACAATCTGCCACCGAACAGCAGAACACCTAGATAAATATATGATGAGAGTAACAGAATGATGGTGGCCACACTAGCCAAGGTGGCCAGAAGGATTCACATAAGCAGAGTTAAGCTATTCATCATGGGGAATTTCAACCACAAGGAGACAGGCTTGGAAAATCTGGAGCCACATGGGTCACCAGAGGCATGGAGAGCCAAAATGCTGAAGGTGGTGCTGGAAAGCTTCATGTCCCAACATGTTAGGGACAAAACCCGGGAAAGAGTAGACGACGAACCAGCAAGACTGGACTTTAAATTCACCTTCAGCTGTTCACACACAGGAAAAATCACACACTAGGCACTAGAGATCACGTGGTCCTGAATTTCGAATACATAGTAGAGTTAACAATAAAGAATGGGGGAGCACAAGAAGGAAGGGAAGCACCAAACTTCAGAAAAGGGAACTACACATGTATGAGGCAATTCCTGCATGAGGTGCAGTTGGTAAGAAAGCTAGAGGGAAAGACAGTAAACGAAATAATGTAACACGTGACCGCAAAGTGCAGGGAGGCAGAGGAGAAGCTCGTGACAAGGCACAACACAAACAATGGGAAGACTAGAGAGAGCCAGTGTTTTACTTGGAGGTGTGGAGAGGCCAAAGCCAAGTGCTAGACTCTAGCACTTGGCTTTTTTCCATACTCTAGCAGCTAGAGTATGGAAAAATTATAGAAGGCAAAGGACCCAAATCTGGCCCGAAGTTGTTATACAGCCACATTAGGAGGAAAACAACAGTCAAAGACCAGGTAATCAGGCTGAGGAGGGAAGGAGAGGAGCTCACAGGGAGTGACCAGAAACTGAGGAACTTAGCTCAAGATTCTGGAAGGTATTCACAGTGGAGACAGAGAGGCTTCCAGTAAACTGAGGGAGTAGGATGCACTAGCAAGTGCTGGACATATTGCACACAACCGAGGAGGAGGTGAAGAAACTGCTAGGTCAACTAGATACCTCGAAGGCGGTGGGCCTAGATAATATTTCTCCATGGGCCCTGAGAGAGGGAGCAGATGCACTCTGTGTGCCACTTACAATAATCTTCAGTAAGTCTACTGAAAGAGGTGTGGAAGACACCAAACGTACACACAATTTTTATGAAAAGAGACAGAAAAGCAGCACTAAACTCCAGTTTGTGTCACAAACATGTAAAATTTTTTTAAAGTTAGGGTTTTTTTAAGGGTTTAAATCGGAGAAAAAGGGGTGGAGCACCTAGAGAGGGATGGACTTATCCATGACAACAAGCTTTGGCTTCAGGGAGGGGGAAACTCCTGAAACCCACATCCAAAGGGAGTTCTACGATAAGGTAACAGAGGGAAAGACAAGGAGAGGGGGGGTGGGTAAAACTAAATTTTTTGGACTGTAAAAAAGGCTTTCGAAAACAGTTTTCACACAAGGGATGATTGAAATGCTAGAGGAGCAGGAAGGAATAGCAGAGAAAATTTCTGCAGTGGATCAGGAAAAAAACGAGTTTTGGGTTACATGAAGAGGTGTGGGGAGTGGGGCGGGTGTCGAGGGGGGTTCTACTTTGGGTCAGTCTTGGGGGCCCGGGTTTCCCCGTTTTAGTAATGTAATTTGCCCATGACAAAAGGAATGATTCAGGGGGTGTCTCTGTTTCCCAGTGATGTAAAAACTATTGAAAAGAATGAAAATTTATACGGGGTCGGTAAGGTGCAAGATTGGGGGAAGCTGAAAGGGCCTGGCCCCAAAAAAAGGGTTCCTAGAGGGAAAACCCCGAGAGGGGGAGAGAGAAAAGAGTTGGGGGACGAGAGAGAGAAAAGAGAGAGAGAGAGAGAGAGAAAGGGGAGGGGAGGGGAGAGGGAGGAGAAAAGAGGAAGAGAGAGGAGAGAGGGAGTAAAAAAGTAAAAGCATGGCGAAGGATAAGAG